TCCGACGGGACTTCGTGCCCAAAAAGGTAGTCAAGGACAAAAGTGGGAGAGTGAAGCTCTACAAGCCGATGAACAAACCATTCTTTAGGGGTTTGGAGAGAGCACCCGAGACCGGTGTGAAAGATCATAGTTGTTTCATGTGTGGAGGACCACACTTTGTTCGGGAGTGTCCGAAGAAAAAAACTCTCAATACTACCACCGTAGTCCAAGAGGAGCGAGAGAAGCCCGATGAGGCCAGATTGGGAGCGATGAGAGTCCTCAATGCCGTGAAGGCGAAGGAGGAAATGTTTGTGGTGCCCATAGAGGAGGGACATAAGGATGAACTTATATATTGTGAGGCCAAGGTAAACGGGGTACCTACGAAGGTCTTAATGGACTCGGGAGCATCTCGAAACTTCTTGTCCGAAGACAAAGCGGTGGAAATGGGTGTAAAGGTGACAAAGGAAATCGGATGGATGAAACCGGTGGATTCGGCATCCAAACCAATCACCGGTGTGGCCAAACAAGTTCCGGTTCAAATCGGAGGATGGCACAGCAAATTGGACTTCATGGTGCTTCCGATGAACGATTACAAGGTAATATTCGGCGTGAAGTTCATGAAGGAGATGGCGGTAGTGTTCCACAAAACCAAGTCGATGAGCTTCACCGAAGGTGATGTAGTTATTCATGTCCCTTTACATGTTGAAAAAGTTGAATCGCATGTTTTGTCGGCTATGCAAGTTTTGAAGGGATTTAAGCGAGGGCACGAGACGTATCTTGTGGCTCTCAAGGAAGATGACCCATCGAAAGGCCAAGATGTCCCGAAGGAGATCAAAGGCGTGTTAAAGGAGTTCGAGGACGTGATGCCTCCCGAGCTGCCAAAGAAGTTACCCCCGAGGCAGGAGGTCGATCACAAGATCGAGTTGGAGAAAGGGGTGAGACCTCCGGCGATAGATCCGTACCGGATGGCTCCGCCCGAGTTAGAAAAGCTTTGAAGACAATTGAAAGAGTTTTTGGATGCCGGCTCTGACCTTTGAAAGCTCTTTATGGCGCCCCGGTGTTATTCCAAAAGAAGCAAGACGGAAGTCTCCGGATGCGTATCGACTACCGGGCGCTCAAAAAAGTGACGATTAAGAACAAGTACCCGATATCGTTGGTGGCGGACTTGTTCGACTGCTTGGGGAAAGCCAAGTGGTTCTCAAAGTTGGACTTGCGATCGGGATATTAGCAAGTCCGGATTGCGGAGGGTGATAAGCCGAAGACTATGTGCGTGATGAGGTATGGTTCATACGAGTTTTTGGTTATACCATTTGGCCTAACTAACGCACCCGCTACGTTTTGTACCTTGATGAATAAAATATTTCACCCGTTCTTGGAGAAGTTCGTGGTGGTGTATTTGGATGACATAGTCATCTATAGTGAGTCCTTAGACGAGTATGCTGAACACTTGCAGTTGGTGTTCCGAGCCTTGCGGGAGAACAAGCTATATTGAAGGTTGAGAAGTGCTCTTTTGCCCAAACGGAGGTAATGTTCCTTGGGCACAAGGTCAAACAAGACGAGATCCTTATGGAAACGAAGAAGGTGCGGACAATTGTCGAGTGGAAACCGCCTAAGAACGTTTCCTAGCTTCGGTCATTCCTTGGGTTGGTGAACTACTATCTGCGATTCACTGCGGGATACTCGGCGAGGGCGATGCCATTGACGAATTTGTTAAAGAAGAAAGTTGCTTGGGAGTGGAGTGACGAATGCCAAGCATCTTTTGAGAACTTGAAGGCGGCAGTCGTGGAGGACCAGGTACTTAGCCTCTCGGATTACTCGAAACCGTTCGAGCTTCACACGGATGCCTCGGACTATGCCATTGGAGGAGTATTGATGCAAAATGGGCATCCCGTGGCGTAGCTTCACACGTATGCCTCGGACTATGCCATTGGAGGAGTATTGATGCAAAATGGGCATCCCGTGGCGTACGAGTCCCGGAAACTCAATGACACGGAGCGGAGGTACCAGGTCCACGATAAGGAGATGTTGGCGATCATCCATTGTCTTCGGACGTGGAGGCACTACTTGCTCGGGAGTCACTTTGTGATCAAGACGGATAATGTGGCGACGAGTTACTTTCAAAACCAAAAGACGATCACCCCGAAGCAAGCACGGTGGAAAGAATTTTTGGCGTAGTTCGACTACACATTTGTGTACAAGCGGGGCAAAGCCAATGTCGTGGCGGATGCGCTTAGTTGGAAGGCCTCCTTTGCAGTGATAACTCAAGTGCAAGGAGACCTTGCCGACCGGATCAATAAGGGATTAGCCGAGGATTCCGTAGCCACGAAATTGATAGAAATGGCTAAGAAGGGCACGACGAGGAAGTTTTGGGAAGAGAATGGCCTAGTCTTCATGGTTGAGGATCGACTATTTGTGCCACGGTGGGATAATCTTCGATGGAATATCCTTAAGGTAGCCTATCAGACAAATTGTGCAGACCTATGAGGTAGGTTCTCAAAGAGTGATAATCACTTCTTCATATTTTATTATTTATTTTAATTTAAAATATAAATTCTTTAAAATACAATAATTTTTTTTTATATAAAAAGTAAAATCATTATATTATACTTTTATATCGTTACAATTATTACCTATAAATCAATACATATCAAAACTTTCAAATTTAAATCAAACTTACAAATCTAAAGAAACACAAAAATTCAAACTCATTTTAAAATTCAAATACAATTCAAATTCAGACTCAACTTTCCCAAACTTTATCAAAAGAAACACATGTAGTCTATCTACATATAATACTCCCTTCGTCCCGTAACTTTGTATTCATTTACTTTTTGCATGTTGATTTTTTAATATTAATTATTATATCAAAACGTATTACAAATTAAGTAAAAATGACAAAAATACTTCTATTAGTGTCTTATAATACCAATATAATAACATTTATTAAAAAAAATATACAAATATAAGAATATTTTTAATATTAAGTACAATGACACTAATAGTAAATAGATACCTTGTTATAGGACAAATGAAGTTAATATATATGTTTTTAATGTTTTAAAGATAATACTATTTTTTTTTATGACGTGGGAACCCGCAACTGCTATGCAAAAATGCGCACCGGGTAAACCTCTGACCGAACATAATACACGAAAGATAATAGTACTATTTTTTAAATATGTGGAGTGTATATAAATATTTTAATAAGTTTGGTTTTAAAATTTTTACGTATAAAATAATGGCACGAAAATCGTAATTTACAAATATATAAAAATTAAAAATATTTTAATATTAATATAATATTATGTTTATTATTCCTCCTTCCCGATTTAATTGGGATCTTTGGTTTATAACTTCATATTTAAGACCGTCAACTTTAGTGAATTAATTACAGTGATTTATAGTATTAGTTAATTTATTTTTTTTATGTGAATAATGATATTACTATTTTAAAAATAAAAATTAATATATGATTAAAATTTTTAAATATGGATTTTAAATATTTTAAACCTATCATATATATTGTCACATATTACTTTAAAAAATAAAGAGTCATAATTTTCGATATCTATATCATATTATTATATGTATTTTAATGGTGTATTTGCGCAATATCAAGTGATATTTTATCTCATATGGATTTCAATAATAAAAAAATATAATTATTGTTGTAAATATTATAATCTATATTAACTCATATGTATCTTAACCTATAGGGTAGTATAAAAAAATAATACTTCCTCCGTCTCATGTATTCTGCAATATTTTTTATTTTGATATGTTCTACATACTTTGCAATATTTTTATAATAGGAAATAATTAATGCACTTTTTTTCATCACACCACTTAAATAAAAAAAAATAAATATATATTTTTCTATTATATCACATCAGTTAATTTTTACTTTATTCTACCCATCTAAATTCTCGTGCCGAAATCCAAATAGTGCTTCTTATATTGAACCGATGGATATAAATTTAGTCTTTGATACAAAGTCAATGATCCAAATAATATTGGATTAATTATTTTGATTAAAATCAAATTTCTAAAATTTAACATTGAATTATTCCTATAATTTTTAAAACGACTCAGATCCGGTGTTGATTAACTAATTTCAGCAATACTGAAATTTAAAATACATATAATAACAATATCAAAACTAATAAACAAATATCACAAATCAGATAAAAAAAAATTATATTTACGTAATAACAAAATACAAAAAAAATTATATTTGCTCATTTACCATATTTACTGGAATTTCGATATCTTATGTTAAATATAGAACAACAGTTTTTTCACAAGGAACTTACAAATGATTTTGGAGCAAATGATCATTCTTAAATATTATAGTTTCAAAAAATTTGTGCATACATGCATAATATACCTTATCGGACGTCAAATAACAGACTTAATTAACAGAACTTAATAAATTATAGTTATATAAAAAAACCGAAATATCATATAAAGAACTTATTATTTTATATAACAGACTTATTGTTCCACATAACAAACCTAAAATTACAACTAATAACAATATTAAAACTAATAAACAAATATAAAAAATCAGATAACAAAACCTCATTGTGGGTTGAAAACTATCTGTATAAGTGGATACCTCATCAACTGTAGCTTTGCAACGATTCTACAAATAAAATATTATCAATATATAAAAAAAACCAGTAAATATATAAAAAATTAAATATTATAATATTAAATTTCATTAACATAAATTACCTTTTCCGCATGATCATCTTCGTGTTGATTTTTCTTAGTCAATGCTTCGTTTTCCAATATATCAGGAACAAGATAATACAATTCATCCTCAGTTTCTACAATTTTTTGTCTAACAGCTAAAAGTTTCTCATTTAGTTCATTTGCTTCACATTTTAAGATATCCAACTTCAAAATCAATGCTTCTTTCTTGCGCTCGTAGGCTTGTTTTGAATTTTTAACATTATCCCCTAAGCACAAAGTATTTTCATTTTCCTAGAAAATAAAAATATTATGTTAGTTCTTAACATAGTAGAACCCATATCTTTTAATTTTCTATTGCAAAAAAATATACTTAGACTTCATATGGAAGAGAAGAAACAATAATGTTCTCTACACAAAATTAGCTCAAATAAACTTCAGGTATTAAATGTAAGGAAACAAGAAACCTTCTAGTCTTACATGCTGGGAAACAAGATGCCTATTTAGATTTACCATTTAGAATTTTACAAGTCCATCACCTTATATATAATATGTAACACATACTTTACAATATAATATGTAACACATACCTTATTTTCCTCAGCTAATTTATTTTGAGTTTCAATTGAAAACTCTCCAAAATATTAAATCACATCAGTCAAACGCATGTGTCTCTTAAAAAAGCAAGTAAAGCTCCTAGTCCCAAATTTTTACGATCAATTAGATCGTAAACTAAATGATGAACATAACAAAAAAAATTAGAGAAGAATACAAAAATATGTATGTACATACTATATTTACACATTTCAAACACTTACCATAAGACAATGCATATCTCATGTCGGTCTACAAGTTGGTTTTATGTTATCCACCAATTTACACTTAAAATTGTGAATTAAATCCACCAACTTGTCTTTTATAACAGCAACCCAATTATATCTTAAAGCATCCTCAGGAGATACAAGGAACCTCAAGAATCGATTATTGATACATGGAGATGTTAATAGAATTAATAACGTCGACAGAGAATATAGAACATAAAATCTCCAAAAGTCAATAGGACGGTACAATCTAGAAGAGTGTAATATCTCTGATAACCAACAATTTTGGACTACCGTAGAATTTATTGTATCAAACTCAAAGGGTTGGCTAATTTCATGAATTTCACTATAATAGTTTGAAGGCTTTACTAAAGATATGAGACTTTTACCAAATCCATGTGGGAGCCCATATACTCGAGCAACATCATCATCGGTAATATGTCATTCCGTCTCATCTAAAAAAACAAAACACTTTTTTTCGGTGTCCCAATTTCTCATTAACTGAAGCAATGGCTCACCATTTATTTTCATTTTCCTAACATATAGAAGACCCTCAAAACATGACTTCTCAATATAGGATCTAAACACTTCCTTATTTTCAGACTCTAGCAGTTTATTCAATTTTGCTATTTTACTCGGGATGGAATACATCTGAACATGTTTAGCCATTTCTCCCTGTAAAAATACAAAATTAAACATAACACAATCAATAGAAAAATATCACAATTCAACAATACAATACCATTATGATGAAATTGAAAAGTTGGAAATGAAATAAGATGAAGTACTTAAGTAAGAAATAAGGAAGTTGGATCTCTGTTGATGATTTCATAACAATTTAACAGATAAAGAAGAAAAATATTATCAAGCTTTATAATTTTGAGTGCAACAGCCAGCAGATACAGAAATATGGATGCATAGTTAGACTAAGAATTAGCACAAATAGGTTCGATTCAAGTAGATTAGTAAACAAAACCAAACTTCTCATCCTCATTCTACAGTAACAATCAATTGACACAATAAATACATCAATGCAACACCACGTAGTAAACCAGTAAGGTAGTAACAACATATGAAACATAAACTCCAACATAGAGACAATAGGGAAAAATGAAAAAAAAAAAAAAACCCAAATAGCAAAGTTAGTCATATTTAACTATCTCCTGCAATTTTATGATTTCAAAAATTCACATATATATATGCAATAGCAATCAATTTAGTCTTTCTTTGTCGGAAACAAAATCAATTTACAATATTAGCTAGGGTAATTAAATAAATAAAAGAATACAAACAACTAATATAGAACATATGTGCATGCATCGGTATTGATTTTAAGCAATATACATGCAGCAGCAGTAGGAATTATACAAGCTGCTGAACAATCAATTTATATTATTTCTTTGGGATCTTTAAGCAAATTCAAAAGAAAAAAATAAGTACATTCAACAATGTATGTGTGTATTTATGTTGTTGAAAGATTAAAGAGAGACAAGTGAATGATTGGTTTATACTGACAAAAAATAAGAGTAGTGAGTGCATTAAAGCCATTGAAGATGAAGGTGAAGAGATTAAGGGATGATCGGAAAAAAATGCAAGCGGGGACTATTTTCTCAGTGCAGCAATTCTTGAAAAGGAAAACAAAAAAACAGGCAACAACTCACTCCCAAAAAAGCATCGCAAAAGGACTGTTATATCAACCAACAACGAAATTAGGAAAAAAGACAAAAATCATCATCTTCATCATCACAAGTTATATATATATAATAAATGTCCATCCATCAAGAACAACCATAATAATATATCCCTTTTCTCTTCACACAATTCTTCTTCACTTACATTATATAGATGATAATGGATGAATGCACTAAATAATAAATATATATATATATACTCCCAACAAACCAATTCCAAATGTCCTAATTCATTCCTCTGTATTTGGAAAACAAATGCATTATGCTTCGATCTATATGAAAAACAAAAAAAAAAAGTGAAGAAGAAACACCTCAGTCACAAGCACTGCGTGTCTATTGCTCCACAACAACAATAGATCTAACTCTAATGTAGAAATAGATAGCTATACTCGCTACTTCTTCCCTAAAGTACATTATACAAACTTAGTTTCCAAATTTTCTAAAGATTAAAATACATTAGAAAACACAAGAAACACATTATATAAATTACAGAACCTGAGTCTGAGTGAGAAATCTGAATCGAAATGTTGGCCAAGAGAGTTCGTAGTAAGAAGATTCAGAATCAAAATGTCTACGAGGGCACATAACTGAATTGGATTGAGAGTTTGAGATTGGATTCGCAGCAGAGGACTCGCCGGTTGAGAGAATCTGAATGACGAGGGCAAAGAATCGCACTAAGGGCAAAGAATCGATTCAGCGCACAAAGATTGCGAAAGAGCAAGAAATAGAGTTTGCGCACAAGGATTGTGAACGAGGAGAAGAAAGAAATGGAATAAAAAGACTAAAGTACCATTGACTAATTACAATCGTTAGATTATAATGAATGATTAAGATATCATTCAGCAATGCTAAATTATAGTATAGGATCAGTACATGATCCATCCCCTCTTTAAAATATTGTATTTGTAATTATCGTTTTTTATAAATATTTTATTATTTTTAAATATAGTGATTCGAACAATATGTATAATTTATTATACAAAATATATGTGTTTTTATAACATTTTCTTTTGAAATTACTATTTAGATTGTACATTTTCCAAATATTTATATACAGTATTTTTTATTTTAACAAAATATCTTATCAAATATAATATTAATATCAAACTCAAAGACTATATTGTTAAATTTAAAATTCGCCACTTGACTGAACAATACTCAATAAACTTACAAAAAAAAAAAACACAACATTATTATTGACAATACATCATTTATATTAATATAACGCAAATACAACACATGAACTAATAACACATAATATAGACTTAGAGAGCACACACAACAGTTAAATTTAGCACATGACATATTTTTATACAGTATACGTTGTAATTATAAACACACATCACATATTTTTATTAAAAATATGTGTTATTTTTATATTTTATGCGTATTATTTTAAAAAAATCAGCAAATTTTCTCAAATTAATAACGTAATCCTTCCCAAACTCAAATCTAAAATTTTTCAAATAAACACATCCTTACGTATTAACAGCAATAAATTTTTTTGTCCGATCAATGTAAAGTACTTACGTGGAGGAGTGACGGAGTTTTTGCCAATAATATTTGTTTCACTTTTCCCAAAGCTTATCCAATATCCTTATCTTCATATTAATGCTAAGAATATATAATGATAGTTCCTCTTTGTCTTATCGTTTGTGGTGTATATATATATATATATATATATATATTACTTCCACCGTCCGTCATGAAATTAGTCAAATTTTTTTGGGCACACAATTTAAAATATATTATGTTAGATAATTATTTAGTTTGATTAATAAATGTAATAAAATATTATATTAAATATTTTTTATTTGATAAAATATTAAATTAAAAGTTAAAATATTTTTTATTTTAGGGTAAACTGTTTTTTTAGTCTCGTAATTGGACCCCTTTATCATTTTAGTCATGTAAGTGGAGCATGTCGCAAACTAGTCTCATAAGTGAAAAATTTTCGCTGTTTTAGTCCTCCGACGCCGGAGATGCCCGCGTGGCTCGCCGGAGGTGACGTGTCCGCCAGGTGTCCCGCCAGATCAGTGACACCTGACGGACACGTGGATTTTTTCTTTTTTATTATTTTTTTTAAAATTGGAACAAATAAAAAAAATGAAAAAAAAATACAAATAAAATTTAAAATAAATTTAAAATAAGTTTTAAAAAAATTAAAAAAAAAAATCCACGTGTCCGCCAGGTGTGACCTGGCGGACACATCACCTCCGGCGAGCCACGCAGGCATCTCCGGCGCCGGAGGACTAAAACATCGAAAATTTTTCACTTATAAGACTAGTTTGCGACAGGCTCCACTTACGCGACTAAAATGATAAGGGGGTCCAGTTACGGGACTAAAAAATCAGTTTACCCTTTATTTTAATTTTTAAATATTAATTTTTTTAATTACTGATATTATTTAAAAATAATGATAATTCTATTTATTGTAAATCAATAAATGCATTTAGATAAACAAAAAAAAAATTAAATGTAATTTATATAATAAAAAATGTAATAAAAGAAATTATATAAACAATACATAAAATTTTTCGAATTTGGTTGTTATTAGAGATACTTCGTTATGATATACCAAATTTAATAGCACATCGCATACGTACGGTACAAAATTTTTGATATGATATTTTACCATACTGTGACAAATATTTTGGTATACAAAATTTACGAATGAAAAATACTGAATTACGAAAATAACATGCATATTTGTAAAAAAAAAAATACCGAAAAAATCTTAAAATTTCGATACAATATAACTTTTTTGTATGATAACGATATACAATAAGATATTTTCAATATATATAAATAATTAAAAAAATGGTATTTTTGTATATACTAATTATTTGATACAATATCGATATCTTTCTTTAATAAATTAAAAAAATTGGTACGGTATATAATATATTTCGATATTTTTGGTATACTATCTCAAAACATTTCTAACTGAATTGTATAAACGATATTAGAATATAATATTTTACATCAAATATTGAAAATAAAAATAAATTTATAATTTTGCAAGATAAATAAGTTCTATTTTTTATTTTTTTTAACAAAGAAAAAAATCAATATCAAATCTCATTTTTAATTAATTTTTCAGCTATAAATTTTCAAATCAAACATCAAATTTTTATTATATATTACATTTAAAATTAATTATACAATTAAATAAATATTTATTTTATTTTAATTATTCAAAATTTTAGTTCAACTTCTAAATTTACAATTAACAAATAATAAAACTAAATATATTAATAAATTAATAAAATATAGTTAAATTTTTTTTAATTTGAAGTATTAGTTATTAATTATTATTATAATAGGAAAGTAGACTAATTTCGTACTTAAAAAAGAAAAAATGGACTAATTTGATGGGACTTATGGTGTAATTGGTTGTAACCTTCTACAAAACTACAAATCAAAGGTAACAAAAATAATTATAAAAATATTTTTTCTCTAAGTTTTTATTATTAGATATTTTTTCAATTTCCGCGGAGCCAACCAACTTAATTAAACATAGGCAGCGGAGTCGTCCCAAAAGTTAAAAATAGGCGACGAAGCCGACCAAAAGTTAGATCAATAGGCGGCGGAGCCGATCCAAAAATTAGGAATAGGTGGCGGAGCCGACCATGTTGTATATACTAACCATAGTTATATTCATAGGTATATAAATTAGAAGAACAAAATTAAGAATAAAAATAATAGTAAGAACAAAATAAAAAACAAACTTACTTGAATAAAAACTTCTTTATTGATTTTTTAGATTGCAAGGTGAACAAGTACACAAAGAGAGAATTCTTTCAAGATCTATGCTCTTTTAAGTCTAACAAGTGTGTTTACAATGAAATCATTCACCCAATTTATAAGTGAGGAATAGCTAAAGATAGCATCTAGGATATGATTTTTTATTTTCTAGATCTAGAATTTATTATTTGAAGTTTATGGATAAGATATATATGTATATTATTTATATTTATATTATTATTATTATTACTATTATTATTATTATTATTATTATTATTATTATTATTATTATTATTATTATTATTATATCAAATGGATCTTGCGCTAATGGTCCTCCGAATGGATCACAACTTGATCCATCTGTCGCATCAGAATCGACTTGAGCTTTGTTTTTCTGATTTGTAATGAATTCCATGAATTGGTGGTTGCTACTGATTATTTCCATGAACTTGAGTATCTGTAGATGTTGTTGAGTATTCGGGGTTTTTGGAGCAGATAGTTCCTTTGAGACTTCGGGAATATTCTTTTCACCATGTGGAATGGACAGTGACTTGTTGCTTTGAGTAGTAGCTGGCGGATTTTTTGAAATTTCTTTGAGTGCCTTTGTTAGCTTTTCACCCGTCTGAAAAAAATGGGCTACTGCTTGTTGATCGCAAAACTGGGTGTTGAATTGGTTCCACCATTTGATTTTGAATTCTTGAACTAGTGATAATGGATTAGGTTTGTCGAAAGTCTGCAAAAATTTGAAAGACCAACAAAATACCTATGGAACTTTGAATTCAGCATGGAATAGTATTGGCTTCTGGAATTGTTCATCTTTGGACTTTTTGTTGAAGAGTTGAAAACCAAGTTGAACCTCGGGAGGAATTATATCCTTTTTTGGGCCGTAGAATACCCACCAGTGGTAAAACCATATTAAAAAATTTTTTATACAATTTGAATGAAAAGTAAAAAACCATGAATGATCAAATGGTCGGAATAGAAAGGTTCTATACCATGCCATCCGATAGTCATGGTATGTATACTCTTTTGGAGAAAAATTTACTGAAAACATTTTTGTGGAAAAGGGGGAAGCCCATTCCCGTTGGGAACACACCTTTTTTATTATGCATTTTGAATAGGCTACGCGGTCTGGATTTTGAGAATCTTTAGTATGGGTGAGTTCAATTGAATCAGAATCTACTAAAATGAGTTCATAAAACTTTTGGGTTTTGATGGGATCATCTGTGCTCCAGTTACATCCCATTGGAAACAGTCTTTGAGTGAATTGTTTAAGGGTATCTATGTCAGAGATTTCTTTGAATCGGGTTAATATGATATGTTCAGTAATATTTTTTGTAAAATATGAGGAATTAGTTGGTTGTCTAGGTGGAGTATGGGGAGCTTGAGCTTGAATTTATTATTTGAAGTTTATGGATAAGATATATATGTATATTATTTATATTTATATTATTATTATTATTATTATTATTATTACTATTATTATTATTATTATTATTATTATTATTATTATTTCAAATGGATCTTGCGCTAATGGTCCTCCGAATGGATCACAACTTGATCCCTCTGTCGCATCAGAATCGACTTGAGCTTTGTTTTGCTGATTTGTAATGAATTCCATGAATTGGGGGTTGCTACTGATTATTTCCATGAACTTGAGTATCTGTTGATGTTGTTGAGTATTCGGGGTTTTTGGAGCAGATAGTTCCTTTGAGACTTCGGGAATATTCTTTTCACCATGTGGAATGGACAGTGACTTGTTGCTTTGAGTAGTGGCTGGCGGATTTTTTGAAATTTCTTTGAGTGCCTTTGTTAGCTTTTCACCCGTCTGAAAAAAATGGGCTACTGCTTGTTAATCGCAAAACTGGGTGTTGAATTGGTTCCACCATTTGATTTTGAATTCTTGAACTAGTGATAATGGATTAGGTTTGTCGAAAGTCTGCAAAAATTTGAAAGACTAACAAAATACCCATGGAACTTTGAATTCAGCATGGAATAGTATTGGCTTCTGGAATTGTTCATCTTTGGACTTTTTGTTGAAGAGTTGAAAACCAAGTTGAACCTCGGGAGGAATTATATCCTTTTTTGGGCCGTAGAATACCCACCAGTGGTAAAACCATATTGAAAATTTTTTTATACAATTTGAATGAAAAGTAAAAAACCATGAATGATCAAATGGTCGGCATAGAAAGGTTCTATACCATGCCATCCGATAGTCATGGTATGTATACTCTTTTGGAGAAAAATTTACTGAAAACATTTTTGTGGAAAAGGGGGAAGCCCATTCCCGTTGGGAACACACCTTTTTTATTATGCATTTTGAATAGGCTACGCGGTCTGGATTTTGAGAATCTTTAGTATGGGTGAGTTCAATTGAATCAGAATCTACTAAAATGAGTTCATAAAACTTTTGGGTTTTGATGGGATCATCTGTGCTCCAGTTACATCCCATTGGAAACAGTCTTTGAGTGAATTGTTTAAGGGTATCTATGTCAGAGATTTCTTTGAATCGGGTTAATATGATATGTTCAGTAATATTTTTTGTAAAATATGAGGAATTAGTTGGTTGTCTAGGTGGAGTATGGGGAGCTTGAGTTTTGTCCATAGGTTGATTTTGTGGTTTTGAAATAGTATGATTTTGAGAAGATTGGGTGGCTTGAATATAGGTTAGTGGGGGAAAATCGTAAAATGGTTGAAACATGTTGTTTGTAGGAATCACTGTTTTGGGGATGAGTTCATAATCTTTTGTCTTTTGAGCTGTAGGTTGAGTTGGAGTGTTCATACCTACAAGAAGGAAAATTATAGTTAGGCAATAAAATCATTTGATATATTTTTTAGTTCTTTTAATTTTGTACGGGCTTTTGAATTTAGGGTGTTCCAGTATTCTCTATCGTCTTTTGTAAATAATTTAGGGTGTTTATTTATGAATTCTAAATTATATTCAAAAATTTGTAAAAAATGAATTAAGTGGGCTTTTTCTTCCCTGAGTTGGGATAAAAAATTTGTTTTTCTAAACTTATATAAATTGAGGGTATGGTTAAAAAGAATATATTTAGGAGGAATAATGGATTTTGGTTTATGGTTTACCATTACCCTACAAAAATTCCCGAGTAAGGAAATCAGGCAATGAATTTAATAAACCATTAATGAATTCAATTTCAAAATCAAAGGCAGATAGGATAGCTTGCCATCTAGCAAAAATTTGTTTTGAAACAAGATTTTGAACATCTTTTTGTAAAATTTCTTTTGCAGATTTACAGTCAATTTTTAATAATTTTTTTTAAAAATATAAATCATCTTGAAACTTTGAAATATATAAGACAATAGATAAAACCTCCTTTTTAATTGTTGAATAACTTTTTTGTGGTCCAAGCCATACCCCTGAATGAAATTTAACTAACTGTTCTTTTGATTCTATTTTTTGTTTTAGTATTCCTCCATAACCTATGTTGGATGCATCTGTAGGAGGCACCCCTTCTCCCGAAGTTACGGGGCTATTTTGCCGAGTTGTTTCCACTACCATGAATGCCTGAGGGTTTGGAATACCTAAATATGGTAGGGCTTTAACTTTTTCTTTTAAGACTTGAACAATTTTAGTATGTTGATCAGTCCATGGGGGGGATTAGTTTGTAATCTTTGAAATAAATGTTGACAAATTTGTTTCATATTTGGAAAGAAATCAGCTACATAGTTTAAACATTCTAAAAATCTTTATAATTGGTTTTTTTTTCTTTTATTTCATTGGGGAATTTGTCTACAAATTCTGTGGCTGTAGTTATTGGTTTAATAGTTCCTATATGAATTTCATGCCCTAAGAAACGAATTTAAGTTTGGAATAATTTCATTTTAGATGATGAAACTGCTAAACCATTTTTGCCAATTATGTTGAAAAATGTTTGTAAATGCTTAAAATGTTGATCTATATTTTTTGAGAAAACTATAACATCGTCTATATATACTATTGTAAAAGTAGAGTAGGAGTTGAAAATATCATTCATTATGTGTTGAAATTCAGAATGAGCATTTTTTAATCCGAAAGGCATTACATTCCATTCATAATGACCAAAAGGGACTGTAAAAGCAGTTTTATATCTATCCTCTTCGGCTATTTGAATTTGCCAATATCCAGATTTTAAATCAAAATTTGAAAATATTTTTGCATTAATAAATCTCTTTTATTTGGAATAGGATATCTTATCCATTAAAGAACTTTGTTTAGGGGTTTGTAATTAATAACTAACCTTGGAACGCCCTATTCTTTTTCTGCATGATTCATAACATAGAAAGTAGCACATGACCATGGTGACTTTGAAGGCCTAATGAGTTTTTTTATCTAAAAGACTTTGAATTTCTTTTTTGCATGTTTGTAATAATTTTTGGTTCATTTGAATTGGTCTAGCTTTGGTTGAAAATTTTTTTTCTGTAAAATCTTTTTCATATGGGAGATTAATAATATGTATTTTTTTTTCTAACCCAAAATGCATTTGGAATATCTGCACAAATTTCTTTTTTAAATAGATTTTCGACTTCTAATATTTTCTTTTGAACTACTGGATCTTTTATTTTTTCTTTTATAAACATGATTTCTTTTTTTTGTTGTTGTATTAAATTTATTTGCTTAAATATAGAAGATGTTTGAAGTAAGGATAATTTTTTTTGTTTTACGGAATGTAAAAATCAAGTTATATTTTTCCCATAATATTAGTATGAATACCTTGACTGTCGGTGGTAAATGGATATATTTGAATTAAAAAGGGAGTTCCTAAAATTATATCTTGACTTATATAATTAATTATAAAAAAATGTATTTTTGAAACAATAGTCATTATTACATATATATATATATATCCTTTAGATAGTTTATATTTTACTTTTTAAGGTGCTCCATTTGCTGTTAATAATTGTTCATTAGTTTTATCACAATATTTTGTGGAATAAGACCGGCTTTTATATAATTTTGATCGGCTCCGCTATCTATTAACGCAACAAAAGTTTCTTTAAAATCATCTATTGCTATTTTTATTTCTGTACAATGCGTATTTACTGAAGGGGTATCTTCATTAATTATTATAAATGCAATTCTAGCTTCAATATTTTCTAGATCTTTCATCTGGAGTGAATTTATTTCTTCTTTTATTTTATTAATTTGATTTTTCAATATATTTATCTCACTTTGAATATCTTTTGAAGAATTCATTTTAACTAAAGGATTTGATGAATATTTGTCTAATACTTTTGATAAACTAAAAGGTTCAACTAATTTAACAGGTTCTTCTTCTTTGAGAACTAAATCTTTTAGTCTTTTTACATAATCTCATTTGATATTAGGATCTTCAATTTGATCTATAATATCAAAAAGAAATTCTTTATCCTTCTTTTTGAGTAATCACGTTTATACATATTCTAGATATAGTATTATATGAATTTTCACTACTTGAATCAGATTATTCTCTTTTCTCATAAGAACTTTTTGTATTAATAATGAAGCCATTTTTTTTTAAATCGATTTCTTGAAAAATTTCATTAATTTTCTTCTTTAATTTGCATTTATCTGCTTTGTGTCCTATCTTTCCATATTTCCAACATGTTATTATATTTTTATTATTCTTTTTGTAATTTTTAAAATAAGGTTTTGATTTTCTGTATTCATGATGAGATTTTTTATAGCGTTTGAATTTTAAATGTTTAGGTTTTTTACGCAAAGGAGCTTTTATTCCACCTATGCCAAAGGCTTGACAAAAGGATCCTACTTCTCTACGTTCAGATCCATATCTAGCTTGTATTTTAAGCTTGGAACATAAGGTTAACCCTTCTTTTTTAATAAAAGCAAATAATTGACCAAAAGTTATTGTTTCAAAGTTTATGTATTCGCTTCCTAGCTCATTTTGAAGATTGCTCATAATTCGTTGCGAAAATAAAGTAGGTAGTCCAGTTATGAATTTTTCTTTCCAAAAAGATGCACTGCAATCGGGTCTTCTTAATACATATGTTAAAAACATATCCTTATACCACCTAAAGTCCGATAAGGTTGAACATCTTAAATTGATCAAAAATATTTTGGATGAATTTAATTCCTCGGATGAATTTCCTACAAAGTACATGGCTATAGTAACTATTGTATATTACATTTAAAATTAAATAAATATTTATTTATTTTAATTATTCAAAATTTTAGTCTAACTTCTAAATTTACAATTAACAAATAATAAAACTAAATATATTAATAAATTAATAAAATATAGTTAAATTTTTTTTAATTTGAAGTATTAGTTACTAATTATTACTATAATAGAAAAGTAGACTAATTTTATATTAAAAATGAAAAAGTGGACTAATTTGGTAGAACTTGGCAAGTAATTGGTTGTAACCTTCTACAAAACTACAGATCAAAGGTAACAAAAATAATTATAAAAATATTTTTTCAATTTTCTGAAATTATATAATTTATTTATATATTATATCATATTATTAAAAACAAAAACACTAACAGCTAAGAGGTGAATCCATTTGGCTATAGTCAAACGGTAGCATTCAGAAGACTTGTATCCCAATTTCGAACCCAAAAAAAACAGGTCAAAACAGTAAAAAGTCGAAACTTTTGGTGCAAAAAACTAAAAATAAAAAATTTATAAGTGGGAATGCAAATTTGAGCAGCGCAGTGTGGCCTATAGCTTGAAGGCAAAGCAAGAGAGGGCGGGGGGCAAGAATAATGTGAGGAAAGAAAGGCTTCGTTGTGGAGATCCCGGATCACAGTTACTCCATCTCATCGCTACTTCTGCTACTAGCGGTGTAGATTCGTGTGGGAGTTGGACTCCCGGGATCTCCATGCAAGCGAATGAAACAAGATTAAGATTGTAGGTGTACTAAAAGCAGTCAGCCCTCCTCCGTTCACGCGTCCATATTATTATTATTATTACTATTATTAATTATTATTATTATTATTATTTCATATATATCCGATTGCGTTAGAAGTGAGAAAGAAGAGAAATAAATACAAGAAACTGGTGAGTTCAGAATCAAATAGAAGAGAATGGCGAAGGATAAGACGATCGGGGTGGCGATGGATTTCTCGAAGAGCAGCAAGGCGGCGCTGCAGTGGTCCATCGACAACCTGGCCGACAAAGGCGACACCTTCTACATCGTACACGTCAAATCTCATTCCCCCGACGAGTCCCGCGCCAATCTTTGGTCTCAATCCGGCGGCTCTCGTATGTCACCCCTACCTACCAATTCTTCTATTTCTAATCCAATTCTGATATATTTATTTCTTAATCAGATCTGCAATCAGTTTGAGTGTTTTGGTTTTTGTTGATTAATTAAAATTGAATTAGCTCTGATCCCGCTGTCGGAGTTTCGTGAGCCGGAGGTGATGAAAAAGTACGAGGTTCCGACGGATGCTGAAGTGCTCGACGTACTCGACACCGCTACCCGACAGAAGCAGGTGAGCTACCTATTATAATGTATTTTAGGCCAAGCACCTTAAATAGTTTGGTATGATTTGAAATTTTTGATTTAATTAATAATTACCCATTTAACCAATTGAATTAAATAGGTCCTGTTAATGTCTAAATTTTAAATTTTAGACCTGCAGTGTTTGTTAATTAGATCTGTTAGGCATAGCAAGCTAGAAATAAATAAATAATTTGATCAGATAAGAGTGGTGACAAAGCTATACTGGGGGGATCCCAGAGAGAAGATCTGCGAGGCTGTGGAAGATCTCAAGTTGAATTCGTTGGTGATGGGCAGCAGGGGCCTCTCCACCCTCAAAAGGTATAATTAATTGATTAATTATGATATACTTGCTATATATTAATCAAGAAAATTAAAAAATAATTTAATTTAATTTATTATGGTAATAAGTTAATTGAGGTTGCAAATGAATTTAAACTTAAACAGGATAATACTGGGAAGTGTGACTGATTATGTGGTGGCGACAGCGGCCTGTCCGATTACCGTTGTCAAAGACAAGGACGACTAGGAAATATTCGATATTCTATATTACATCAATACATACATATAAATATTCATATATATATATATATATATGAATATGATCCTTCTCATAAATAATCGATATGTTATGCTGTGCATGCTGTCACCCTCTTTGTCACTACACTATTATACATTATGGTATTTCGTTAATTGTAGCAAATTTTAAAATAAAATAGTGATTTGATCGAATTTTTGTTTAAATAGTATTTTTATTTAATATTTTTATAAATATATAATATATATTTTTTTATTGATAACTATTAATAATGATAATTTTAAATTAAAATATTATTATATTTTTACTCTGAACCTCCCAATACTTATTATTCCCTCCTAAAAAATTATATTATATATATTTTTTATTTATTATATTATATATAAATTATTATTCATGTAAAATATCACACCACCTATCTATTTATATGCTACCAAATAAATTATAATTTAAAAGAAGCACCAAAAACACAAATCAACAAATATATTTTCTCAATTCTAGTAAAAATGTTTATATTATTATAGACATAAAAATTTTAAAAATATATAATTAGTAAATAATTATTATATAAAATAATTACATATTATGATTAATATAATTAAATAATTTGATTAAAATTAAAAATATTATAAATTATAAATTTATAATATAATACAATACATAATTATTTTTTAAAAGGAAAAAAAAATATTGAACCGATCAAAATAAAAAAATAAACGTTTTATGTAAAATACATGTATCTTGCTTTTATTATTTTTAAAATAAAATAGTAATTTAATTTAATTTGATCATATTAAATAAATAATAAGTATTGAGTATAATACTCTCCCTCTTACATTTCAAATGTCTCATTTGATTTTATACACAGTATTTAAGATAATAATATTTGATTAGTTAATAATAGTGATTTATTATATTATTTTATTATATTTTTTATATAAATAGTATTATTGATAGTCTTTAAGTTAATAATATTTGATTAGTTAATAATAGTGATTTATTATATTATTTTATTATATTTTTATATGAATAGTATTATTGATAGTCTTAAAATAAGAATATGTAATAAAATAAATTAAAAATATATATTTAGATATTTTAAATATAATACTAAAAATATATGTAGTATAGATAACATTTTATAAAAAAATAAAATTTTAAATACTATAGATAAAAAATATTTATTTATTTATAATTAAAATAAACTAATTTATAAGAAAATAAGAAATTTTAAATGTAGATAAATATTTATTTACTAAAGAGAAGAATCAAAATAAAAAAGTTTTAACTAAATCCTAAAATGCAAATCTAAATGAGCAAATTTACACAGCTTACAAATTGAAAATGAGTTAGCCCACGGTGTGGGGTGGGTTTGTCTGTGAACCAAATAAATATAGTTATTATTTATATTCTAAATATAATGTATATTTACTGATTCTTCCACCGGACACTAATTGTAGTTGCCACACAACTTAAAAAAATCACACAACTTAAAAAAATCATTACAACTTATGCATTATTATAAAAATATCATCATTGTTTAACTAATTTTTTTATAAGTAAATCTGAGTATTCATACATATTTTGTACTATATATCTATAAAATTGTAATACTAAAAAAATTACATAAAAAAATAAACACATGTATACATATTAGATTTAGAGAATATTACATTTTATAGTAGTTTTTAAAAATATTTCAAAGTAAATTAAATTAAATAATTAATTTATTAAGAAATTTTACATTATGTAAATAATCTTTTGATTTTAAGTTTTTTGCCGTTTTTTTAAATAAATCGAAAAATTATATTTAAAATATTAAATCAATGTATGTTAGACATTTATTTTGAAATATGTATTATTTAAATTTTATGATATAACTATTTTTTAATATTAATTATAAAAGTTATATTTTTAATATTGTTAAAAAATCTGGGGGTTGGTCTGCTTTACTCACCATCGGTTGGTAGGTTGGGTTGCTTAAATCAACCCGCCTCGTCGTGAGTTGGCACACAAATAATCCGTTTATTTGTGGATTACGGTGAATTGTGAGCTAAATCCGTTCCGCTAATCCGTTTTGACAACTATAACATCATGGTGCTTAATAAGTACACAATAAACAATAGTTTTTCTCATTGTTTATTTAAGTTCGATATACCATTTTTATTTTTAAATATTTTTTATTTGATATTTAAAGACTTTTTACGAAGGGATGGGATCCGCAGCCCGCCCCTCACGCATCCCAACCCCAGCCTCTATATCCAGTTATATATATTAGAAATAATTAAAGTTTTACAAAACGTTTTAAACATGAAATTTATATTACAAGTAATCATGATTAAATCAAATAAATTAACATAAACAAATATGATAATTAAACAAAACTTCATCCATAAAATCAAATTTGCGCTTGAGATCTTCTTCTTCAAGAAACTAGTAGGTTGGAACCCTAGGAAGACGTTAGAAATGTATTGCCAGACCCTTGCTCTCAAATAGCAATAATGTATTCTGATTTTTTTAGAGTAAATCTAATAACCCGTATGTGAGAGTATTTATAATTAAAAAGAAAAATCGTCCATCATGATTTTTCTGCCACTTTTCAAGTAAATTTTCAACGTAATGGGCTTAATAGGAGAAAAAGTGGGCCACAATTTAGAGTTAGTTTAATTTGATAAGATAATCTAAAAAAATAATCAAATTGATATATATATCCATATTAAATATAAAAATTTAAATTTGATTAATTAATTAATTAATTAATTAAATTAACATTCTCCCACTTCGCCCACTCAAACCATTACAAACATAATGAGATACTTTACATACGAATCATAGTGGCAGGTCTTCAATAAATGAATGTTATCTTCCGTGTATTACAATATGTCAAGCATCTCAAACTAAATTCACAACTCAATGAATAAATCATATATTTATTCCGAGTTAAATTAAAGTGAGTTTTCTCAAGAATAAACAAATATGTGCACAATAAAACGAGAAAACACTAAACTGAATAAGAGTCTCAATAACAATGTGCGCAAATAAATTACATTGTGGAACCAAATTCCATACTTGCTACATGATCCTTGAAATTCTTTAATAGTATGTCTTTAGTCAAGGGATCGGCAACCATCAACTCTATACTAACGTGTTCAATGACCACTTTATTTTTCTTGACACATTCTCTTAAGGCTAAATACTTTATGTCGGTGTGTTTACTTCAACTCTCACTCTTATTGTTTTTAGCCATAAAAACTGCAGCAGAGTTGTCACAATACAACTTGATCGGCCTAGAAAATGGAATCAATGACTCTAAGCCCGTATATGGAACTCTTCAACCATACACCATGCGAGCTACCCATAAAACATGAAACAAACTCAACCTTCATAGTGGAAGTAGCAGTGATAGACTGCTTCGCACTTCTCCAAGAGATAGCTCCATCAACCAACAGAACACAAACCGATGTGGATTTTCGAGTGTCAATCCAGCCAGCGTAGTCCGAATCGGAGTAGCCAATTACTTCCAAAACATCAGTTTGTCTATACATGAGCATGAAATTCTTCGTACCTTGAAGGTACCTCATCACTTTCTTAACAGCTTTTCAATGGTCAACACCCTAATTACTCTGATATTTCCCTAGTACTCCAACAACATATGCTATGTCAGGCCTGGTGCAAACCTGAGCATACATAAGACTTCTGATTGTTGAAGCATAAGAGATATTTCTCATATTTTCCCTTTCAAAGTCATTTTTCCGAAACTGACTCAAATCGATTATGTCACCCTTCATAATAGGAGCTACACTCGGTGAACAATCTTTCATATTAAATCTCCCTAGAACTTTCTTAATATAGGCTTCTTGAGACAAACCCAAAATGCCTCGATTTCTATCTCTATAGATCTTGATGCCAATGACATAAGATGTCTCTCCCATATCTTTCATATCAAAGTTCTTTGAAAGAAATTGCTTCACCTCATATAATATCCCTTTATCATTAGTCGCAAGCAAAATATCATCCACGTACAACACAAGGAAGAAAATACGACTCCCACTAACCTTATGGTATATACAATGATCCATAACATTTTCTTCAAAGCCAAAGGGAAAGATAACATAATGAAATTTCAATTACCATTGGCGGGTGGTTTGTTTCCATCCATATATGGATTTATTAAGTTTACAAACAAAATTTTCTCCACCACTAGAGGTAAATCCTTCAGGTTGTTTCATGTAAACCTTTTCCTTTAGATCACTATTTAGGAATGTTGTTTTCACGTCCATTTGATGTAACTCAAAATCAAACTGAGCTACTAATGCCATGATCGCACGGAGTGAATCTTTTTTAGATACCGGAGAAAATATCTCGATGTAATAAATTCATTCCCTATGAGTGAATCCTTTGGCGACAAGTCTTACTTTATGTCTTTCGATGTTGCCATTAGAGTATCTTTTGGTTTTGAAGACCCATCTGCATTCAATGGCTTTTACACCATCAAACAACTCGACAAGATCCTAGACTTTGTTTGATGCCATAGGATCCATCTCGTGTATGATAGAATCATGCCACAAATTTGATTCTTTAGAATTCATGGCTTATGAAAACGTTTCAGGATTATTTGCGTCTTCTATATTGTAATCCAATTTTTAAAGATACACCATAAAGTCACTAGAAATTGCTGATGTTCTAACTCGTGTAGACCCTCAATATTGTTTCATTATTATCATGAAGAACTTACTGACCAACTGATTCATCATCAGGTTTGTTCAACATTTTCTTGATGTTTCATTAACAACTTGATCTATATGATCATTTTCATCAGCTTGTTGAACTCCATTAGTTAATCGTCTAACATCCGTTGAAACTTGAGGAGTGTGGAAGACAATCAATCTATCACTCGATTCAATACGTTGATCTCTATAGTAATCTCTTTCAGAATGAGTATCTTGAAAATGATCACTCCCATTAATCGAGTCATTCTCGAGAAATTTAGCATTTCTCGATTCCACAATTCTAGTGCTATGAGATGGACAATAGAATCTATATCATTTGAACTTTTCAGCATATTCAATGAAAAACCCAAAAATAGTTCTCGGATCAAACTTTTTTTCTTG